CTTCCCTCTCTCCCCCCTTCATTGCCACCAACAAACCAACTTCATATAGCAGAGAAAGATTTACCTCTTCATGGTCTAAAAATGTAGTAGCTTTGTAGGACTTAAAAAGCTTGATGATCGTTTGCTCTGATGAGGACATGGCAGTCAGATTGCCAAGCCATTGAGGTATTGTGCCTGAAAGATTATTATCTGCTAAATCCAAGACTTGCAGATTTTCAAGAAGCGATAACTGTTCAGGGATGCTTCCTTCAAGCACATTGGATCGTAGGCGAAGCATCCTCAGTGATGATAACCGTTCTATCCATACGGGAATGTTCCCTTTAAGTTTCCATACAATTTTCCAAAGACGGTGTTTTCCCATGTAGCTTGTTGTTTCCCAAGTGTAATGACTGAAGAAATTATAAGGAACCAAACCACTGAGAAATATTTCCAGATAGGCTGTTGTTTGACAAGTTAATAGCTGATAACTGCATCTTGGAGCATTGAGGGATTTCTCCTGATAAGAGATTATTTGATAGATCAAGAACACCCAAATAAGGCATCTTACAGATGGATGGCGGAATTCTACCCGTAAGAAGATTTCCTGAAAGTAAAAGGACAATGGAATACCTATTGCTGATTATGAGAAGAAGATTTCCCGAAAAAGAATTATCAGAAAGGTACAGATAGGTGTGAAAACGGCGAAGGAATTATGAAAAACATGAAGAAAAACCCAAAACAGACTCCACCACACCCTGGTGTGGTGTCTGCCATGAGTGTGGCAGAATTTACCCTGTCTGCCATGGGTGTGGTCTGCACCACACCCTGATGTGGCAGAATCTGCCCTGTCTGTCATGGGTGTGGTCTGCGCCACACCCTGGTGTGCCAGACTCGTTTTTAGAATCCTAATCTATTTGGGATTCTGTTTTGTTATAAATAGAACTACGTTTTTTAGGGTTTCAAAAGGAGAGAAAAAGAGAGAATTAGCATTGTTTTGAACACTTTGAGAGGGAGATATTGTGAGGGAGTTGAGAGCTTTGGTTAGGGTTATATTTGAGTGATTTTGTGAGTTGTAACCCGTTGTATTTCTCCTTCATATAGTGAAATCTCCCCATCCTCTCCCCGTGGATATAGGCAATTGCCGAACCACGTAAATTCCTGTGTTTGTGTGTGATTTTGGTCATTATTTTGTGAATTGCACTCGTGTTTGGTTTTGGTTTTCTTCTCTCATCGCTCACCGACTCGTTTGGTTGTCGAGCACGCTTCCGCACGGCGCGCAACAAGTGGTATCAGAGCTCAGATTTTAGATCTAGGGTTTTGGATTAGGTGAAGGAAGATTCAGTTGGAAGCTTGGTTCTTGGAGTTCTAGGCTTTGGTGGAGTTAGGGTTTGAAGTTGTCGTTGAAGATCTCGCTTTCCTCGTGTGGTTAGGAGTTCTATTTGGAATCCAATCTAGGGTTCAGTTGGGTTACTTCTAAATTCTATAAAGTTTGAATCTTTTTTTTTGTAATTTGGAGTTTGTGATTTTGGGTGAAGAAGTTGGTGAAAGCAGCAAGATGACGGGTACAGTTCAAGTGGGTTTTCAAAACACTAAGATTAGTGTAGTGAAATATGACGGAAAAATCAATTTTGGTTTGTGGATGAGCGACGTACAAGATGTGCTCAATGCTCAAAATTTAGAGGAGACCATCATGATCGATGTGAGGCCACCTAAATATGAAGAGGCGGTATGAGAAAAGATGAATAGGAACGCTTGTGGGGTTATCAGGTCCTGTTTGGAACAGGAGCTCAAATATGATGTGATTGGGGTGACGTCTGCGATGAAGATGTGGGAAATTCTCAACAATAAGTATCTTATGAAGAGTGTTGAGAACAGGTTGCATTTCTTGCGTAGGTTATTCAGATTTCAGATGTCCCGAGGCACCTCGCTTGCTGCTCATGTGAACAACTACACTAAGTTATTATCGGACTTGACGAACGTGGATGAGAAGATCACGGATGAGTACAAGGATATTATTCTTTTGGGCTCCTTACCGGATGAGGAGTATGATACCTTCGTGCTTACTTTGCTGAACGGAAGTATTATTCTTTTGGGCTCCTTACCGGATGAGGAGTATGATACCTTCGTGCTTACTTTGCTGAACGGAAGATCTTCTATCACTTATAGTGAAGTGACTAACGCATTGACGAACTACGATTTGAGGAGGAAGGATAAGGAGACTTCCCGCGCTAGTACTTCAGGAGAGGCCTTGTCGACGAGAGGTAGAAGCCCATATCCGAAAGGTGGTAATCGAGGAAGGTCAAAGTTAAGAGTTCGTTACTAGCTAGCTAAGAACCAATGTGTATTCTGCAAGGAGCAGGGACATTGGAAGAGAGACTGCCCAAAGGTCAAAGAAAAGGAGAATAGCAAGAATAAGGGCCCGAAGGCCAATAAGGTGAATGTTGCGAAAGGCGATGATTCCGATGATTCGAGCTTTTCTCTTTTGATTACTCCGGAGGTGAACCATTTGGATGCATCAGATTGGATGCTTGATTCTGGCGCTACTTATCATGTGACTCCTAGGCGAGATTGGTTTTCATCGTTTGAGAGACTCGACGGGGGTGTTGTTGTCATGGGAAATGATCAATCCTGTGACATTTGTGCGATAGGTACTGTGAGGATTCGGATGCACGATGGAGTAGTCCGTGAGTTGAAGGAGGTGAGATTTGTTCCTCAGCTGAAAAAGAATCTTATCTTAGTTGGAGCTTTGGAGGCTAAGGGATTCAAGGTGACTTTCGAAAATACTATAGCGAAGGTTACTAAGGGATCTTTGGTGATGATGAAGGGAGTCTGCAGTCAAAATTTATACTATCTAAAGGGGAGAACCGAGATTGGCCAGGTTGCTTTCGCTACTTCAGAGGCGGACATGAGTAGGCTTTAACATTACAGGTTACGGCATACAAGAGAGAAGTCACTGCAGGCTTTGTGCAAGCAGGGGCTATTGAAGGGAGCCAAGAGTGGTAAAGTGGAATTCTGTGAGTACTGTGTTCTTGGCAAGAAGACGAAGGTGAAGTTCGGGATGGCCATTCATAGGACGTGGGTCATCTTGGACTACGTGCACACAGATGTTTGGGGTCCCACCAAGACTGCATCACTTGGTGGTCGATATTGGTTCGTCAAGTTTATTGATGACTATTCTAGGCGTTGTTGGGTGTACACCATGACAAAGAAGAGTAAAGTTCTAAATATATTTGTAGAGTGGAAGAAGAGATTGGAACTGCAGACTGGGAGAAAGATCAAGACGTTGCGATCCGACAACGGCGACGAGTATACTTCAGACCCCTTTCAACAGCTATGTCGAGACGAGGGCATAGAGAGGCACTTCACAGTTAGTCATACACCGTAGTAGAATGGGGTGACAGAGAGGTTAAATCGGTCTTTGCTGGAGAAGATTCGATATTTATTAGCGCATAGTGGTTTGGAGAAGATCTTTTGGGCTGAGGCACTTTCATATGCGAGCCACCTCATTAATAGGCTGTCTTTATCTGCGATTGAGGAAAAGACCCATATGGAGATGTGGTCGGGAGAGACAACACATGACTATGACTAGCTCAAGGTATTTGGTTGCCCTGTATATTATCATGTTAGAACTGATAAGTTAGAACCTCGAGCTAGGAAGGCCATATTTGTAGGATTCAAGCGTAGTGTCAAGGGATACAAGCTTTGAGATTCAGTTGATAAGAATATTGTGCTGAGTAGGGACGTCACATTCGATGAGGCTTCTATCTTAAAGCTTCCCAGCTCTCATCAGGTGAAGAGCGACCCGACAAAGGAGATATCACAGGTGATGGAGATTGATGCAGCTCTACAGTGTCCAGATGATGCAGTATCCATTAGAGTTCCGACTGAGGTGACGTCAGGCGAGCACGACGGTGATGCGGAGGATACGGGTACTCATGTGCAGGATCAGGGACCGACGGCTCAGGTTCAGGATTCGATTACGGTTCGGAGACAGAGGAGAAACATACAGATGCCAGTACGGTATGCCGACACAGTTTCATATGCACTTCCGGTGGAGAGTATCGATGAGATGATACCTACTACTTTCAGAGAGGCCGAGCAGAGTTCGGAGGCTGATTCGTGGCAGGTAGCTATGCAGGAGGAGATGAAGTCTCTTCATAAGAACGATACATGGGAGCTTGTTGAGCTTCCAAAGGGGCGGAAGGCGATTGAGTGCAAGTGGGTGTACACGAAGAAGGAGGGCATTGATGGCACTCTATTAAGGTTCAAAGCTAGGTTGATTACGAAGGGCTATGCACAGGAGGAAGGTATTGACTATAATGTGGTTTTTTCTCCGGTGGTGAAGCATTCTTCGATTCGGATTTTACTAGCTTTGGTGGCACAGTATGAATTAGAGTTAGATCAGTTGGATGTGAAGACGACATTTCTTCATGGTGATCTTGATGAAGAAATATATATGACTCAGCCATTGGGATTCCGAACTGTAGGGAAAGATAAGTTGGTTTGCAGGTTAAAGAAATCGCTATACGGTTTGAAGCAGTCTCCTCGACAGTGGTATAGGCGATTTGATGGTTTTATGATTGGTCATTCGTACACTCGGAGCCAGTTTGATCCTTGCGTATATTTTCGCAAGTTAAAAGGAGGTGCGTACATCTATTTGTTGCTTTATGTCGATGACATGTTGGTTGCCTCTACTTCTAGGTCGGCTATAGATGAGTTGAAAGTTCAGCTTTCAAATGAGTTTGAGATGAAGGACTTGGGTGAGGCCAAACACATTTTGGGAATGGAGATCGGCAGAGACAAGAAGAAGGGCAGGATTTGTTTGACACAGGTGGCTTATTTGAAGAAGGTTCTACAGCGATTTCATGTTAGCATGGATACGAAGCCAGTTAGTGTACCATTGGGAGCCCATTTGAAGCTTTCAGCTGGTCTTTCACCGAAGTCAGTTGAAGATCGAGAGTTGATATCGAAGACTCCATATGCGAGTGCGGTTGGGAGCTTGATATATGCGATGGTATGTACGAGGCCGGATTTGTCACAGACGGTGAGCATGGTTTCGAGATACATGCACGATCCAGGAGTGTGTCATTGGGACGTCGTGAGATGGATTTTGAGGTACATTCGATGTATGCTCAATGTTGGTTTGGTTTATGAGCGGGACACTACAGGTGGGCAACTATGTATTGGCTATGTTGATTCGGATTATGCCGGAGATTTGGATAAGCGCCGGTCTACTATGGGGTATGTGTTTACTTTGACCCTTGTGCCGGTGTGTTGGAGATGCACCTTACAGTCTACGGTAGCTTTGTCTACGACGGAGGCAGAGTATATGGCGGTTACGGAGGCTGTGAATGAGGCTATTTGGCTTCGAGGACTTTTGGAGGAACTTGGTATATCGCAGCAATCCGTCACAATTCATTGTGATAGCATGAGTGCTATCTATTTGGCGAAGAATCAGGTTTTTCATGCGATGACGAAGCATATTGACGTTCATTATCACTTCGTTCGGGATGTTCTTGAAGATGGAAATGTGGAGATTGTGAAAGTCCACATGGAGGATAATCCGACAGATATGCTCACTAAAGTGGTTCCGAGTAACAAGTTTGATCATTGTCGAAACTTGTTGCATATTCGTGATTGTTGACGCCGTTGACGGTCATTTGGATGAACTACGGGCAGCTTGATCCCTTGGGAGAGGGGGTACGTAGGCAACCACATTGGTGCAGCCGAGTTTGGAGAGACGACACATTGGTGCTCCTGTTGGTGTCGGCTCAGTGTTGAGAACACTTCGCCGAGGTGGAGAATTGTGAAAACGGTGAAGGAATTATGAAAACGTGAAGAAAAACCCAAAACAGACTCCACCACACCCTGGTGTAGTGTCTGCCATGGGTGTGGCAGAATCTGCCCTGTCTGTCATGGGTGTGGTCTGCGCAACACCCTAGTGTGGCAGAATCTGCCCTGTCTGTCATGGGTGTGGTCTGCGCCACACCCTGGTGTGGCAGACTCGTTTTTAGAATCCTAATCTATTTGGAATTGTGTTTTGTTATAAATAGAACCACGTTTTTTAAGGTTTCAAAAGGAAAGAAAAGGAGAGAATTAGCATTGTTTTGAGCACTTTGAGAGGGAGATATTATGAGGGAGTTGAGAGCTTTGGTTAGGGTTATATTTGAGTGATTTTGTGAGTTGTAATCCGTTGTATTTCTCCTCCATATATTGAAATCTCCCCATCCTCTCCCCGTGGACGTAGGCAATTGCCGAACCACGTAAATTCCTGTGTTTGTGTGTGATTTTGGTCGTTGTTTTGTGAATTGCACTCGTGTTTGGTTTTGGTTTTCTTCTCTCATCGCTCACCGACTCGTTTGGTTGTCGAGCACTCTTCCGCACGGCGCGCAACAATAGGAACCTCCCACTCCTATATGAGGCAGTTTCCCATGAAAATTGTTGGAACTGAGATCAACGACTGTATTATTGTTGAGTGTTACTGACATCGGAATGCTGCCAGTTAATTGATTGTGTGAGAGATTCAAGTAGACAATTTGAGAAGATACGTCCCAAAACCAGTCAGGTACAGTAGCTGAAATGCTTGCATTAGACATTTGTTTCTCTGTGCTTTAAGCCATGTGGGAAATTCTGGTCCTAGTACACAGGAGCCCATACGAATATTTTTAAGCTGGAAATGGGGAGTCCAGTCTGAGCTCATGTTAACAGTTACAGAACTTGATGACAGAAATATTGCCTCTAACTTTGTCATTTTAGCAAAGTGTGAATTAGAAATTAGACCTCCTAATGGATTGAAGCTAAGGTCGAGAACCACTAGCTCTGAGAGCTCCCCAACAGCTTCTGGAATGGGGTCTTCCAATCGGTTATTGGCAAGATACAGATACATCAATGATGATGACAAACTTCCAATTGATTCAGGAATGCAGCCAGAAAGAAAGTTGTTATAGGCATGGAGTTCTGTTAGATTGCTGAACATTGCTAGCCCATCCGGAAGTTTCCCATGGAGAAGATTGTTATGGAATTTCAATCTTTGTAAGCTGTACCTTGCACAACCGGACAAATCTCTTATTAGCTTCGAGATGTCTGTGCTGATTCCATTGTAAGAGACAAGGTTATGCATACCAAGGAGCCAATTTGGAATCATAGAGCTTACATCGTTCTCAGAGATGTCAATAGTTGATAGATATGTGAGATTAACATAAGGAAGAACAACAGGAATAGACTTGAGATTGCAATTCGACAGGTGTAGCACTGATAAAGAAGAAAGTTTGGTTATTGCATTAAAAATATCAACCTTCGTGAGGTTTATGCCAGACATGTCAAGGTACTGAAGAGAAGAAAGGTTAGAAAGCCAGTCAATGTTATCAACATTTCGATAAGGGGGCCGGTTGTAGTGCCAACTGAGATCAAGATATTGCAAATTTGTGAGGCTCCCTAGCTGATGAGGAACTTTCCCAGTAAATAAAGCATCAGAATGATTAAGATACCTTAACCCGGTGATCATACCGAGGAATTTTGGGATGCTTTGACCATCAAATCCAGGTATCTCAAATATTTCAGTTCAAGTAAAGCGGGACTGATTTCACCTCCCAGGTACTGATAATAGTGATAGGCAAAGGGATTGCGAAGTTGGAGTTTGGTGACATGACCTGTTCGGTTGCTGCAGCGAACTCCAGCCCATTTGTAGCAGTCTCGTCCAACCCAAGAGGATAACCTATTCTCAGGATCTGTCAGGCTCCGCTTGAACTTGAGAAGAGAAGCTCTCTCGTTCTGTATGCAAGCAGTACTCGTATTTGCTTTGTTTGAACTAAACTCGACCGTTGTAGTGCAGAGAACCAAAGGAAATAGAATCAGAAGAGTAATGATCCTAGCCCCCATCACTGGAAATTCCAAAACGAAAAAAAAAAAGAAAAGAAAAAGGGAGATTTCTACTAATATATGTATGAGGTTTACATGAAAAAAACCATTTTTTGTTTCATCAACAAGTGGAAGTAGGCCTGTTCAACTCTGCTCATGCTCCTTATAGTCAATTCTAGTACAGATAAATAGAATTTTCGTCACTTTCTAACTTAGATGACTTTCTAACTTAGATGACTCTATTTGCTTTGAAAAGTCAAGATAATTTAGCGTATATAATGTTTTTTTTTATAAAGGATAAGACAGCTATGTGGTCTTTCAACATGGATATATGACTGACCCAAGGGTTTTTATTGCAAAACGTCGTGATGTTCCTTAAGAGTTGATCTAACCAAACTTTTTATTTATAAACAACTAGTTTCTGATGTTAGTCTTCATTCTTTAGTTGTTATATCAGTTAACAGCTAGTTATTTCCTAGAGCATTGAAGCCCCTCTGTTACTTCCTGCGTGCACAAATGGTGTAGCTGTCCATCAAAGG